AAAAATGAGAAAAGCACAGGCTGTGCAGCTCTGGGCTGCTGGCCTGTGGAGGATTTATGAATATTTCAGTGGCCCCTGGTTGTTCGTGTTGGTAAATTGCATGTCTATGTGTGTCTTTGAAAGTGTGTGTGTAGCACATCAGGGATAAACATGCGTGAATCACATCCACCGGACCTCTGGGAAAGAAATTGCTTGAGGCAGATTTCGCCTTTTCTCCATAACAGACCCTAAGCGGGTGATTGGATGTAACCGTGAAGGTCACTGCTCGTAATAGACTGTGTTGTTGTCCTGTTGCACATCAAGACAGCCCATTCTGCCACTTGTCAATTTTTTTTAACCCAACTCAAATTATGTGACTGCTGTGCATAAATGATATGCAAGGAGACACCGTGTCCTTGGCATGAATACATCATTTTAACCAAAATGCAAAACTGTTTTCAAGAAGTCCTAATAAAGCCTGCCTCGAGTGTTTCTTCTACAGGTGGAGTGCTAATTTGCTGCCACTGACCCCTGGGGGCAGCGTTATTCAGGGAGCAGTTACAAGCGCTTTACTTTTCCAAAGCATTCGTGCAGTAAATATGTGACTTATAATGCACTGGCACAAATTGCAGCATTCTGGCAAACATTGAAATCCTATCTTCTCTATCCAATAAAAAGATTGCTGCAGCATTTATCCCAACTTAGTACATATTACAATGTTGCTCTTCACACTCAAACCCATCAGTTAATAAGAAGGGAGAGGAAAAAAAGGAGGGTTTCAATTTCCTTCTATCTCACTCCTAAAATATGCAGACACTGCTGCACTGCCAGTATGTCAACCTTATAATTTGTATTACATGTAAGATTCCAGTGTTTGTACAGAGGTGACGTCAAGCAGAAATATGGAAATTCACCATAGAATATGGTAAAAAAAGACATTTAAAGGGACATTCAATTCAAACACAATTCAAAGTACACGTGCCTACACCTTCCTAGGTTCCAAAGTGGCCCAAGAATAAAGCACTAGAACCACAGCATTTTCAACATTGAATGGAACAACTGTCAACATTAGTATTTTATCTCTGTATGCGTCTTATATGTTTTTAACTAGAACTAATGGACGTGAAGCAATAGGTTAAAAACCAAAAAAAGAGTGTAAGAATTCTACTTTCATTAACATTGTAGTTAAAACATAGTTTTTGTTTTTTATCCAAGTACCTTTGTGCACTCTTAACTAAATAGGCGCTGTCCATGTGGAACCGCTCGAAGCATTGTACAAATTACTACCCACCACATCGTATGGCACAGGTGACATAATCCAAGGTCGTACAGCACTTGTAAAACAGAAGAAGATCAAATGAAACACGGGCAGAAATTCACTGCTGGAAAATTGGATACCCTCTAAGCCATTAGTAAACCCCAGCGTTCAAAACCAGGACGGAATGTATGAATACTTATAGAGACGATAAGTTAAACTGCAGGACGATGAATAATTGCTGTAATAAGTGCTGTAAATCACTTTTCTTTGAAATTATGAAAAGAGAATAATTGCACACATACAGAATGCATGTATAAATCTTTCTGCAATGTGCATGTGCTGTCGAATTTGTCCTTTGGAAAGAGCACTGGTGGTCTTATCCTTCATTGATCATTTCCCGTGGGGGGGGGAAAGACCATTTACATAAAAATTGATTCCGTTTCCCGTGGTGGGGGGGGAAAAAAGACCATTTACATAAAAATTGATTCCTTGTGTCTGAATTAAATGATCAATGATCTCCAGTGCGTGAGACGTTTAATAAGGGCCTTGTGTCTGAATTTGTTGCAGTTTTGCTTCCAGTGCGTGAGACGTTTAATAAGGGCAAGTGCTAATGAAAATGCTGCTGTTAACTAGCACGGTATGTAACGGGGTTTCAGTACAAAAATGGCAAACTCAGTAGAATTAATTATACACACGGGGGTCTTCAGATAAAACAAGAAAAAAAATCCCACTCTGGCTATTGGCTGAAATGCCAATTTAAACTTAATTAAAGAAACTGCCCACAATGTTGTACATTTATTGACTATGTGCCCATGCCATTACAAATAAGTCAATTGCATTCGGGTAGTGGAAGAGGTAAGGTTGACTCTACATTTTACTTAATGTGAAACCTATGAGAACAGTGTTACACCCAGAAAGCAGTGTTTATCAAGCTTGATTTTGTCAGTGTGCACAGTAGTTTGGAAATAATTACATTAAATCGTCCACAGGCAACATTAATAGAATTGTTTACTGTAAAACAACCTGCTGTTTGGGGTAATGTCAGGGTAGGAAGGACTGCTTGAGTCCCACAGTACGAGCTCGGGTTGCATCACATTCCCCAGTCTTGGCGTTGTTGTTATTTACAGAAATAAACTGATGAAATGACTAACCCATTGACCAGAAGTGTCAAAATAAATCACAAACACTGTCTAAGACGTTCAATAAATAATAATCAACACAGGATTAATATTTATGGAACTTTCTAGTGCTGACAATGCTTTAACCAGAAGTATTTCCACCTCAATAAAATAAATTAAAAATACATTTAAAATCCAGTAAAAAAAGAATATTGTTACACATACAAGATACATTCTGTTTTCCGAACACTTTTTCATGTGCAACTAACAATGTATTTTAAGTTTTCGTTTGAGTATTACATTTTATATAGACTGCATATAGAGTGCATATCTTGCCTCTGTTTACCATAATTAAAAAAATAAACCAGCATCTCCCTGAAGTACATTTGTATATTCTGAACAAGTTTACTATAAATCATTTATTTAAAATAATCACCTGTCAGTAACATACTTTTTTTGGAAAAAAAAATCAAATGGCTATAATATTAAATTACATCATATAATTGCACTGTTGCAGTTGAAAACTAAAAAAACAGCAAAACAAAAGTTGATCAGCATCTTATTTTATTACTGAAGCCTGTCTGTGCCTAAGAGGTCGTGTCAACTTAACGTGTTTCCACTGAAAATCAGAAAATCATTTGCCAATGTTAAGCATCACAGCAGTTTTTTAATATTCAAATTCAATTGTTGGCCTTTAGCAATGACCGGTTTTGTTCTGACTAATGCTAAGTTGCAGTTATATTTGGAATTACCTCATAAAGTTTGTTTTTTGTGTGTTATGTCTCTGTATAAACGACACTGCAAGGATGTGGCTGTCAGAATCAGTCGGAGAATTTAGTATCTACAAAAAGGTCCTTTAAATAAACACTTTGTCAACATTGTCAAGCCTCCCGTGGTGTTGAACTTGTCCTTGGCATATGGAGCGTTCAGAATTTGATGAAGCATCTAATCAACATAGAGCAGAAGGAGGCAGCCAATGCCCAAGTGTCATTGTCATGTGTGTATTAATTTGATTTATTTGCAGCAGAGCGTGTGGACGTTGTGCATCGTGGGGAGCCACGAGGCTAAGAACACAATGAAACCTGTGGTCCTTGGCTTTTGTACTTTGACTGCCTGGTGATGAGAGAGACTAATATGGAGCTAAAGTACTATATGTACTATATGTGTTATTGTACATATAAATGTACACATACCACATTTGGAGCAAGAGTGAGGAAAGGATTACAATTGTATTGATTTATAAAGAATGGCCTGATAGATTATGACCTTTGAATTTATAATCCAGATGCAAACTGAAAACCATATTAGGTCACATCCTGTCACATGGGCTGGGCTTTTGACAGCTACTGAAACCCAATGACGTTTTACAACAACAGCGTTGGTAAAAAAACAAAAACATAGTACTTTTTTGAGAGAAGATGAATTATGAGATTAATTTTTTTGCAGTTTTTTTGAGAGTGCAAGTGTCACTGTCGGCAGGAAAGCACTTTAGCTCCACATTGTGTGATATCTGATGGTCTTTTATGTGATTTTTCTTCTGGCATGTATGGAGACACTGTTTGCGCAGTCGTTTGTTCGACTGTAAGCAAACATGCATGGCTATTCTCTCGAGTGAAGGGTAGGCAACATAGCAACTGAGAAGCAGTGTTTTGGGATTTAAAATTAGTCACAACCTATACTGTGCTGCCTGTACTTCTGATAAAAGTCAATGATTGTTAGCATTGATGTTATGGTTGGATGGGTAGCATCCTTCCCAACATACCAACATCACTGTCATCATCAAGGTCATCTCTGGAAAAAACAATGAGCTAAAAGGCATGTGGAAGCAAAGGAGTTGGCAGTGGGACAGATAGGAGATTAAAAAAAAGGAAGGAAAGAGAAAAATGAATCAACACTTGTCCATAAAACTGTGACACAATCTTTAGGACAGTTGTAATTCCAGCACTGTCTGCGAATGAGATAAAGAATTTTATGTGTGTCTGTGTATATATACAGTACGTATATATTATATATTTTTCAAAGAATACAGTACATTGTCTGACATGGCTCATGTTACAGTGGTTGGTTGGGTCTTTTATCAGAATGCATGTGCATTTGTCTGCACAATCCTGTATAAAAATCAAGTTCTCCTGTTTTCTATTTGGTTAAAGTTTATTAAAAATATAATTATTTTTCATACTCACTTGTCTTGTTTTCAGATCATTGTCCTTTTAGAAAAACACCAACATGTATGCACTGGACATTTATTTTTAACTGTATAGAAATTGACTTAAGGTTTCTCAGGTACATGAATAACACCTCAGTATCGTTCCTGATTGTGGTATTCCAATAATCTGGCACAAATCTGTGATGGAAAGAATAATTACCATTTTTTCGTATTCACGATTTGCTTGTTTAGCGCTGCATTTATTCAGTTGTTGATTCATCAACAGAACTGCTCGCTGCTTGCACAACAGCACTTGTAAATTACAGGGCTCCGCGCCAAAAATATTACATGAATGGAATGACAACTGATTATGCTAACTCCTTTCATCACAGTCATTCTGCAGCCTTTACTGAGCCATTATACCGGGATTGGGCAGCTGAGATGTTTGATGTCATTTGTAAAGGAGTCACATTCTCTAACATTTCTTGTCATGTTCTAGATGATGAAACACGCCTGGGACAGCTACAGGCAGTATGGCTGGGGTCATAATGAACTAAAGCCCATCGCCAAGAAAGGACATTCCACAAATATCTTTGGTAAGTCAGACACAACAAACACCGTACAGCAGGTTTACTGCATCCTCCACAAGGTAGGTGCTGATTCTGTAGAAACTGCTCCTCCTAAAATACTTAAAATAATAATTCACTTGATTTTAATACATTTATACAAAGCAAAAACAAATGCATTTGGTAAACCTGCAATTAGATTTAACTATAGGTTTTCTTAGCGTTATATTGGTTAAATCATGAAAACATCTGGAAAAATTAGAACTAGAAACTGCTGCATTAAACAACTGTTAATTTTTAAAGGAAATAATGTGAAAAGGACAACCCCCAAAAATGTAACAGAAGAAGCTAGGCACTCGCCAAAGACACTTGGAATAGAATTGCATGACCGTCAAAGTATGAAGAAGAACCGATAAACACAAAACTAGCCAGAAATAACAAAAGTCGGTAAAACCTAGCAAAAAATAATCAAGCATTCTTCTGGAATCGCTACAAGCCAGCCATAAATACAGCAGAGTTAAAAAAGAAATCATTGAAAATCATGCTGAAATATATTTTACTGGATGAAACCAGATGTGTCAGCTTTGCAGAAAACTAAAGTAAATTAATTTTCTAAATGTTACACTGGCTACAAAAAGCCTTCTTAATTCTTGTGTTTACCCTAGGACCCGACTTTGGGTTAAATTAAATAAAAGTAATGAAGACCTTGTATTTATGAGGCCTCACCACTGTCTGGGACCCAAACCAAACAAATAAATGTATGTGGTGAATACAGTTTTACATCCTGGCCTTAGTTGGGTTTTTCCTTGAATCTGTAGGGTTTTCAACAAGCTTTAAACCAAGTATCTGTACAACCAGACTTGCACAAATGGCCTGTCCTGTCTCTCGTAGTGAAGGTTATGTGATAATGCCTCTGTCAGGTTGCATATCACTGTGGGATAAATGAAAGGCTGAGCTAAGAGCACACATCACTGGGTTGTCGAGATAAAGAGGAAATTCAGAGAATGTATTGGTCATATTTTGTCCCCGTTTACACCTTGTTTGTAAATCCTTTGTCAAACCGCAGAGCAGATCGTCTTTGCAACGATACTCTGCCATTTTCATTTGATGATATTCTTTTGATGCTAATTTGAAACAAGGGCTCACATCATTTCAGCCTCAATAAACCTGTCACACGGTGCTGTGTGAGTTTACATGAGGCAGTGGAAGAAAAAAAAACACTTGGTGACGGAGGGTTTTGGCTGGTCACATTAGAAGTTTGGGAGAGAAATATATTTTTGGGTGCATCTTTCCCTGGCAAAGCTCCCTCCTGTTGGGTCTATTTGTCAATTGTGATGTATATTTTTGACTCCTTTGACACTTTGGTGTTTACAGATGCTTTCAGCTCTGACTCCTGGAATTTGAATTCTAGGGTAATGTCTCTGCTACAAACTGGGACTGTGTTTATTTATTTGTTGTTTCGATTCAAGTGTGTCTATTCATGTACTCAGTTATACTGAGTACCTGTACGTCTTTTGCAGAGGTTTCAATAAACCTGTGATTGACCGTGTTGCACTGTATAGGTGGCACAGCTATTTGGGAAATAGGGACATGCAGTATGTGGGTGTGAGCTCAAGCCAAACCATCACGCAGGAAAATGCCTAGTTTTATTTTCTTGTCATAAGCAGAAGACTATTTCAATCTGAATGAATCAAATAGTGTATTAACTAGCATGTCCTCACATCAGACAGCACACAGTTTCATTTAAAATAATAAATATTGCCCATAGAGTCCGATGAACAGAGATAAGCACAGCTTTTACACTTTATAACACTTGAACTGTATAGCGCCGTTTTTCAATAAACAGATTAACACACACAATGAGTCTCGAGGTGTAAACGCCTCATCCATCCTCCGTGCTGTTAAACTGAGAAGAGACATTAGCGTATTCAGTGCTATGGCGCGTCTTCAGGTGTTTAATTAAATTGCTGGTATCATAAAAGGAATAAATCTTACAGTAAGCCCTGCCCCTGTCTTCATCTCTGATGTTAAAATATTGACCCACTTAAATAAAATACCCGTAAGGGAAATTAGAATCGCAGTAGGAAAATATACGGTGCTGACTGATCAGTGCAAGTTACAGAGTACTGGGTCGCTCGATATGCTAATATTTATTTGAATGCATTTGAATATATTTGAAAATATGTGGACCTTTGCAAGATACTAGCGCAAGTATTGATGCATACCTGTTACAAACCTTCCTGTTTCTAAGAACCTGCACAGTTTATATTGTAAAATTGTTTAGGAAGATATTTTTGTACGTACTAGAGAGACAGAAATGCACTAATAAGTGCATGACCACAGCTGGGACTTGAGGTTTGACTCTGTGCATGGATGGTGAAACCTTTGTGTACAGGGCAAATTGCAATGCATGTTGGGTAACACTATCGATGCAGGACATGCAGCTCGCAGAAGATCTAGTTCTTAAGATCTTAAGTTTTTGGAAGCCTTCAGGAACTCTGTTGTAGAAGTCCGTGCAATGACGAGGTCTGACTTTTAGATTAGATTACCAAAAACAGGAACAGATTATGGAATAAAGAATATCTGGCAAAATCATGCTTATTGACTGAGTGATTATGAGCTGCCAATTTCTGTCTCTGTCGGTGTGTGTGTCTGCTGTGACGCTGCATGCTTATGAGGCTTTTGTGTTGAATTGGAATGATCTGTCTGGAAAATTGGCGAGGGGTGCATGTTTTTGTTGCACTAACCACCGCTAAATGGCAGAGGCAGTAAATATGTACGTGTCTGCCTCGATATTGTGGTGGGTTTTTGTTTGTCCAAGTCCAAGCATGATGCTCGTGTTTTGCATTACACTGATGTTTTCCTCGTCATATTCCAGTCTGTGTTTCTCCAGGTTATTAGTCAAAGTGTGGCTAGCAGAAAAACACAAGTATGGCATGAAGACAAAAACTCCAGCCAAAAACCTTGTACTCACACACAAAAATACAGCCCTATTATCGATGAGGGGTATCCTGTCCTTCATCAAAACCTGACTGTGGTTTGTGTGTATAAGAGTGTGAGAGAGTGAACAGAAAAGAGCGAGCAATAAACCAGAGATGCAGTGGACTCTGAACACTACTCTGATTTACTGATGGTAATGCTGTGGGGGAAATATTCAAATGGTAGCAAGTAATAAATATTTTTGAAATATTTAATTGTTAGGGTTAATTAATCGCACAAGGTATTAAAAATCAACCCCCATAAACATTAATGATGCTGCAAAGTTGCGAAACAATGGCGAGAGTGCATAACCACCACGAGTACTAGCAAATCTTGTTAAATCAGCAGCAGAAGTGGCTGTATACCATCCAGCCTTATTGATTACCAAGTTACCAACTGTAACACTGTGGTGACAATGGTGAATACTAGGTGACAATGAACCTAGTATGGCCTCCTGGTTTTCCCTGGCTTTTTGAAGAATATCTTTAATATGCAGATTTTCAGTACAGGCACAAACCCATTCATTGTTTCAAGGCTTAAATGGTTTGAGCAAGGATAAAGACTGGCCCTGTGAAGAAAACATAACTCAAACTGGGCTTCCAGTCGGAAAAGTGTCAGAGAAGATCTACAGCACCACAGACACTGTGTTCGGTTTTTATTTTCACACTGTGTTAAGCTACTGTGTTATTTATGAATGGGTGCTGCCTTTGGTATATGCTTGTGCCTCACTTCTTAAAGGTTCTCTCTTTTAATCCTGGTTCATCCGGGGCCCTCAAAAAAATCTGCATTTCCTTGGACAAAGACGTGCAGATTGATGCAAGGTAATTGGACACGTCTGAGGCATCAAGTGGATTTGCGCTTCAATCGGTAAATCAACCAGCAGTCTTGTTATAAAAAGTAACAGCTAGTGCACTTTTTATGGCTTGTGTTTTGGTTCCTTGACCAGGTTTTGATTCTTGCAGCCTTTGAACTGACCAAATAGGCTGTAGATGAAAAAAAGAAAGAGTCATAACTAGGGATGCACCGAAATTAAAATTCTTGGCCGAAATCGAAAGCCGAAAGTGAGAAAACCAAGGCGGAAAACTGAAACACAGAAAATAAAAATGAAGAAAGAAAATATTATGCCATTTACTAATACTATTGCATTTATGGCTATGACTGTGTACTAAACCTCAATATAATCAAGGCACTGCAATTGCATAAAATAATAATAAATTAATAATTGTCAAATTTCTAGCAGAGAAATAAAATCAAATGATAGTCACATAGGACGTCTGTGCGTTCATCGCGGCCTGGATCATTTCTTGTGCGTGCTGCTTTATTCCCGCATCCAAGTAACGATCTTTATAACGTGGATCAAGTACAGTTGTGACGAGTGAAGGGGATCCGAGTAGATCAATTGCTTTTGGCAGTTTAACAAATGCATTTTAAGTAATGGTCACTATTGCGATTCTGCGGTAAAATTCTAGTCCCCTTTTCTATGTTTATGTATTGAAATGGAACTGTTATGGAGTGACCATGACCTTGTGAAAGCTCTGTGAAATAGATATGGGAAATGGTGTAACAAGCAGTTTCCATTGATTTAGACAGAATCTGCTCGACCCCTTTGTGCAGTTGTGGCTGATACAAAAGTACGAGTCGGTGTTTCAGTCGGCTGATGTGACTTTGTTTTGTCAAGTTGGACAGAACATGTGCTGCTCACGAGAAAATAAAGATAAAAGCCAATAAAGGTGAGGAACCAGAACTTCATAATCAATAAATCTCAGATGAACCCAGCTATACCCAGCTTAACTCCAGTGTCATTCCCTGTCATTTTTAAAAAATAAAAACCCTCACCAGAGTCACTTCCTGTGATGTTATCTCCTCTGAAACAATGTTACGGGGCCCACTGCTGAGTTTGATGCTCGTGCTCCTCACTCAACCTCTGAACTTTTGATTCTTCGTTACTTATACTAAAAACTCTCTGTTGGGTGATTTAAATCTGAACTTGCAAGATGTTTTGAAATGCATGGACATTCTTCCCAAAGGCAGTTTGACATGCTCACAGTAAG